TATACATAAGCAGTCTTATAAATTATTATCTAAAAAATTATCTATATAAATCGCCATATAATTTTATCTTTTATTTAGATATATTTAAATAATATGAGGTATTTTAAAGCATTTTTTAGATATATTTAAAATATATATTTAGATATATTTAAACCAAATCATCTTTGTCTTATCTAAGATGAATTTATATATTTTTATCTCATCTTTATCTAGCTAATTTTAAAATCATCTAAGCACAACACTGCATATTTTGTACGTCATATAAATATGCGTATATAAAGACGTGTAAACACGTGATAAGTTTCGCGTCTCGAAGAGACAGCCTTGCGATTAATAAATCTAATATCCAGTTATATTATGTGATTAAAACTCCGCGCCGTGGGATAAACTAGAACGAGAGACGAAATTCAGTTTCCTTTCTCTCGGGACTTTATCCGGAGAGAAGCTTTCGTCAAATCAATTCGCCGTGTGACGCGATGGTACCCTCGATAAACTTTATTTCTTCGCAATACGTACGTCGCGATAGTTAATTGCTTAATTTCAGATTTTACTCGTTCGGTCCTGATTTTACTCTCGACTGATTAAACTCGATAACGAAATCTACGACGAATAAATTTTGCGTAGACGTGTCTCTCCCGCCGAACGAAAACCGATTTTGATTTATAGATTGGCGAATAATTTCGCCGAATCTCTTCGAATCCTTTCCGATCTTTTTTTTTTGTCTCGCAAAATTGGTCCAATGGAAAAGAAAAAGAGATCGGAAAATAAAATAATAGAGATCTCAAAAATATTATTTTTATTATTCATTATTTTTTTCATACTAAAGCAAACGAGACATCGCTCTGTTTTATTGTAAAAAATATAATAAAAAATGAAAAATAATATATATTTCATTAATAAATAATAAATAATCAATTTTAATAATAAAAAATAAATATAATATTATAATAAAAGATATAAAATAAATAATAAATCATTGACGATTTATTCGTCGGATACGGTCCCTATGTTGAGTCAAGTGTTGTAGATAATTTGATCAACAATTCTCCCGTGAAAATATATAAAGGGATATTGTCGAGCGATTGGAATCGATTGCGGAGAGACACGAAACGGAGAGAGAGCGTGTATCATTTTTGATTGCGCAAAAGTGCGGCGAAATATCGCCCTCGGAGCCCTCGCTGGATAGAAATTAAGCTCCCCCGAGGAAAAGGGTGTCATCGCCCGTCGTAGATTGCTCCGGATGATGCACGATACGTTATGAGCCTCATTTAATTTGCTGTCGGATACGCAGCTTTTACGAGGTAAATTGTGCGAAATTATCGACGACGACATCGCTAAACGTTACTCGAATATCATCGCTGCTCGTCAGCCAGATGTGACGTTCAATTATTATTACTTGTCAAATGCATTACGCGTGATTCGAAAGTGTATAGGAGCAACGTCGATACTCTTTCTTATTCCCGTAATTAAATTTGAAGTAATACGTTACATTTTGATATATTAAAAAAGATTGCCACTTTTGCAGTAATTTACTCCTTTGATGACGTCGAAAAAATTTTTTAAAGGATCTATAATTAATTAAATCTAAAGTAATACATTATATGTTTTAATATAAATTAAATATTAATAAATATAAATATTAATATTTTAGAAACGTTGTCACTTTTACAGTACATGTAATTTAATTCTTTGATGGTATAAAAAAGAGAAAATTAAAGATTGTTATTACGCGATTAATCATGTAAAGTGTGATGTTGCCCTGTAGCAATAATATTCAGTACAAGCTCTGGTATAATGCACGAATAATTTATTGGCCGTTCTTTGTGCAGAAATTATGAGATGTAATTACGAGAAGTTTGTAAGAAGAAAAAAAAAATATATATATATATATACATACATTGCGCGCAATTGCGATTTTACAAATTACGAGGAGAAAGCGCGATGCCAAAGGAAAGGGCGTACTTGAAGAAAATGAATTGGAAACGAATAGCAACATCGAGAAAAGCAATTCGCACGCTCTTGCGCATCGACTTTGATGCGAATTTAATTAATCTACGCCGGAGCTTAGTCCGTGCGCGCGCAGCATCAAACGAGCTTAACACAGGGGCTTTTCGCGAGACGTTTTCTATGTGAAAATCCCTACAGTGATATCTTCTCAGCGTTCATCCCTTCTCGGGAGAGACGCGTCTGAAAAATCCGGAGTTAAAAAAAAAAAGAGAAAAGAAAATCAAAAAGTTGTACCGGAGGACCAGGAAATCGGAACGAAATGCCACGTCGTCGACAATAAAAGAGCGCCGAAGTAGAGAGAGAGAGAGAGAGAGAGAGAGAGGGAGAAGCGCTAGTCACCTCGATTGATTGGCACGTTGACGTGCGTGGCCACGATGGATGACGCTTTATTTTCCATGGTACACCCCGATTATGGATTGAAAAGCGGCCATAAATCCTCGTGAATACTTTACAGGTATACGTTCCGGCAGGTGAAACGGGGGGTTGAAAGGGAGACAGGGGGTGAGAAAAGAGAGACGACGCCAGCAGAGGAGAAAGAAGGGTGTTTTTTGGTAAAAAAAGGAAAAAAAGGGAAGGTGTTGGATGATGTTATACGGTGGATGCCCGAAAATTGAATGCGGTTCGCGATTAAGGAGATGCTGTCGTTGTTCTGTTTTACCGACTTTAAGTTAGGTTAGGTTCATTTTTTATTGAATATACAGATTGAAGAATCTTTTGATACAGGCTTTTAATCTCATTTTTATTACTTTTGTATTATTCTTTCATGTCATCTCTAATTGGAAACGCCATATTTTATGCATAAATAAACTGCAGAACTTTTGTAATAAATAAGTATTGTTATGAGGTGATGCAAGAGGCCGATAAAAAACTATAATTTCTTAATTTATTGCTTTTTATACAAAATTACAGCGCTCCCCGTTCATTATTATCAGTATTTTAATTTGTATTTTAATTGTGGAGAAGGATTTTTCAATCTGTATAGCCAATAAAAAGAAAAGCCCTCGAACTCAAAGTCGATAAAACAGTCATGGTCAGTATCCTCTAAAGTGCTTTCGTCAGGTATACATAGTTGATGTGTATTCAACATAAAATAATTATCATTCTCGATTTTTTATTTTTCGCGACAGTAGGATACATTCATGTGAACTGTGATTCGTTCAATCGCGATATTTTCTCTTTCTTTTTCATGAGAGGACAAAAGGGGCATTTGCCCTCTTGGAATCAGTAAAAAATTAAGCATTTTGCTCTCCTTGTGAATCAACACTGGAATTTATTTGCGATTTTATTTAATATAAAAATATTGAAATAACAAAATCATAAAAAAATGGAATTTAAAAAATTAAGAAAAAATAATAAGAAACAAAAATTTTAATTATATCTTTTCCCGAAAAAATTTCTGCAGACGCTCATACTCTTTTGTGAATAAACAATTTATGGAATATATTTACAATTTTATTAGATATAAAAATATTGAAATAACAAAATAATAAAAAAATTAAGAAAGAATAATAAGAAACAAAAAAGTTTTAATAGTGCCCCTACCTGGAAAAAAATCCTGCGTGCATGATCTACTCTATTTCTAACATTCTAATTCTATTCTATAAATTTGGTGAGAGATTGGAGGCTCTTGAAATTGCTGAGATTGCGCGAATAGCGAATTTAAACAATTTTTTTCTTTCCAAATTGACTCTAGAATCACTCGCGAAAGAGAGAAACCTTGAAGTACCATAAAATTCGCGAATGAATCATATTTTATAAGCCGATAGATACACATTTCTTTCTGATGAATCGCGCGTAGGGATTCGAGCGATATTTCAAAAGAAAGAAAAGACTTTATTTTCATGCATAAATATATATTGTCGACTCGCGGAATAATTTTGTCATTTTTTATCCGATATATCGACCAACAATATTCGCGCTAAAGTAGTAAGTTGCATATTAGAGGTTGGGTAGAACGTCAAGGGAGTGCTTTTAAATTAGAAGTTGGCGAAACATCGACGCGTGTGTGTGTGTGTATGTGTGTGTACATATGTACTTGCAGAGAAAATTAGTTGAAATTAGCAAACAAAAGCCAAAACGGCGGCGCCTGAGGCCGCATAATTTACGAAAGAAACTGAACGTAGGGAATGAAACCGGGAGAGAGAAAAGCGGAAAAGAGAGAAGGCGAGAGTACTATAACCACGCTGATAAAATGCCGTTCGACGTATGCGCGTAACTTGCAAAATAATGGAAAAAAGCAAGAGAAATATCCCGGCTCGGGTTTATCCGACTCCGCTTCGATTTCACCGAGAGAGCGGCGAATATTCCGCGGAAAAATATCGCCCCGCTTAATCCGCGAACGATCATAGCAATACATGCCCGATACGTGCATATCTTATACGCCGAATTTGTACCAAATACAGAGGAGCGAAACACAGTGACACGGCCGGGTGCATAATTCAAAAGCGACATGAATTTTTAATCGAACGAAAACAAAATTTATTTAACATTTAAGGGGATTCTAAACACCGTTCTATTTTATCGATAAAACATCATTTTTGCGCACCCTTTTCTTTTCATTGATCGAATAAAATAAATTCCTTTTCTCCAAAAAATTTTAATTTTTTAATTTAAAAAAACTTTGTAAAAAGAAAATCGAGAGGTTTACGCTTGTTTTTATATGCACTTTAATCGTGAAAAAGCATTTATTATTTTGTTCAACCAATAAAAAGGAAAAATGATGTTTTATCGATAAAATGGGCGTTTAGAATTACCTTAAACGTGTAAAAAAATGAAAAAAAATTGATTATAATCGTCAGATAACATTTAACAAAGGAAACAAGAGTTTTTAGGTTATCTTGTATCTTTAAACGCGCGCTTACTAATTCAACATATGTTTAGCTTCTTATCTCCTTGCATAGATGGCTACTATTTCATATATATATATATATTTTTTTTTTATTTTGCTCTTGCGACGTGTGGCATTTATATACAAATTTTCCTTCCTATTGCAGTTCCGCCAGAGCAGCCAACCATCTTGGATCGGTGGGGTCGCATCTTGAACGGCACAGCTGGCCCTTACGAGGAAGGCGATGCACCGTATCTCACGTGTCGCGTCACGGGCGGTAAGCTGGCACAAAATACAGTAATATAATATGTATACGCTGAGAAACGTTTATCTGCGTCCTTGCTAACTGCGCCCGACACATCTGCACTCGACTGCATACACGGAGTGTCCCGAACGAGCCAAACTTTTCGTCTACGACGTCTCTCCTCGATCGATAGTCTTCGACATTTTGCTTAAAAAAAAAGTAAGGGACTAAGTTATATCGTACTTTTCGAAATTTAGAAAAGATGGAAGGAAGAGGATTATTTAAACGTTTAATATCTTTGCAATTATTTCTATGACTTATTATTCTAATTATTACCTCGTGAAAATTTTGATTTTGAAAGTTTACACAGATGTAAGAAGGAGAATTAGAAATTGATGATTCTAAGGAATAAAGTCACCCCTTATATTTGACTATTTGCTTTTCTTGATATATTTCGAAAAATATTTGAGATATCAAAAAATGTTTTATGGTAAGAACGTCTGTATTTAACTATATTAATAATATTTTGCAAAAGTAATTTTTATAAAATTTAAGAACTTGATACATTTTTTAAATCTAAGAAAATTATTTTTTGCAAAATTTTATTAATACGATTAAATTGAGATATTCTTACCATAAAACTTCTTTTAATATCTCGAATATTTGTCAAAATATATTGGAGAACGCAGAAAGCCACTTTACAAAATGGTTACCTTAGACTCGTTTTCGGACAGCACCTAAAAATTTCTAAATTCATCAATTTATTTTCTCCCTATACATACGTGTATAAATTTTCGTTAAAATCATAATTTTCGGGGATTCTTCCTTGGATAAATCAACTCGCGGATACATCTCATTTCGGGGAGAGAATTATTTTCCGATATTTCGAAAAATATTCGAGATGTCAAAAAATATTTTATAATAAGAACACTTTTATTTAACCATATTAATAACATTTTGCAAAAATAATTTTTTATGAAATTTAAGAAAACTTAATAAGTTTTTTAAATCTAAAAGAAGAATTTTTTTCAAAATTTTATTATAATGCATCCCAAGTAGGAAGCATACGTCATTTTGACGTCAAACGTCGAAATGACGTCATTCTGACGTTTAATGACGTGTTTAGTGTGCTACTTGGGATGTGATTAAATAGAGATATTCTTATTATAAAACTTCTTTTAATATCTCAAATATCTGTCAAAATATATCGAAAAAGGCAGAAAGAGTTAGACTCGTTTTCGCACAGGTAAAAATTTCCAAATTCACTTTATTTTCCCCCTACACATACACACATAAATTTTCCTCAAAATCAGAATTTTCGGGGGTTCTTCCTCGGAAGAATAAATCAGCTCGCGGATACATCTCATTTCGCGGAGAGAGAATTCTTTCTCGATTCAATCCCCGTTTCCGGAGCAAAAAAAAAACCTGCCGAGTCGCAAACGCGGCGCATTTTGGAGCGAAAGGTTAGGTTAGGTTCGTCGCTCGCGGCGAACCTCACCGCGAAATCGTTTGCGGAAACTTCGATCGCGCGGTCGGAGTCGTTGGTGTCGCCGGTTATTAGATCAGCCAACTTTTTATCGGCCGTCATGGCTAAGTGAAAAGTTCAGCGGAAAGAGACAGAGAGAGAGAGAAAGAGACTCTTCCTGCTGGGGTGAGTCCTTCCCGGTCTGCGATGGAACGGATGGACGAAGATGGGGATGCAAAAGGGAGCACTCACCCCCGAATGGCGGGTTCCCCGGTGTTTACTTTAGCAACTGGATCTAAATTTCTGTTTATAACTGCGGCGCAACTTCTTCGACGGGGCCTCGCGCCTTAAAAGATTATTTCCGACCCTACTCGCGCGCCCTCTATTCTCGATGCCGTCTGATGGGGACGAGGCAGACAGCATCCTTCGTGCTTTCGGCGTGATTAAGCATCGCGCATCTTTCGGCCTGGAAAATAGGGAAGGGGATGAAACGTCGCTGAGGATCCTTAAGTCGTGTCGAGCGCGGGCAAAATTTTCGACAAACTCGACTCGCGCATCCGCATCCATGTTTGAATATTCATTATACCGCTCCTGTAGCGTTGTGCGTCTCTCTTTTCCTTCTCTCTCTCTGTGTCTCTCGTCGTTATTTAATTGTTTCAATCAAGAACTCGTATATATAAACGCGCAGATATTCGGGGATGCAGCGGATTATAATTTGAGGATTTGCAAATTAATTACGATTTAGAATTTATTACTCGCCATCTTTGCCCAGAAAGAGAGAGAGAGAGAGTTTATACGAGTATTCTTCTTGTAAATTGACAGCGCCTTGAGTATTTTAAGGGAATGTTTTTATCGGAGATGCTCATCAGCTGTTTTATTCGCGATGTCACTCGGCATTGTTATGTCATGTTTATGTCTGCATGATTTTATGATCTGAAAGAAGAATTTCCTATAGTTATTTGCAGTTATCTTAATAAAATTATATAGATGATCTAGATGAAGTTTTAGCGTCATCTTATATTTATATAGATAATAAAAATATGTATTATCTATATCTGTATTTTAGATGAAAATGTGTTGTCATCTAAATAAAATTATATAGATGATCTAGATGAAGTTTTAGCGTCATCTTGTATTTATATAGATAATAAAAATATGTATTATCTATATCTGTATTTTAGATGAAAATGTGTTGTCATCTAAATAAAATTATATAGATGATCTAGATGAAGTTTTAACGTCATCTTATATTTATATATAGATAATAAAAATATGCATTATCTATATCTGTATTTTAGATGAAAATGTGTTGTCATCTAAATAAAATTATATAGATGATCTAGATGAAGTTTTAGCGTCATCTTATATTTATATAGATAATAAAAATATGTATTATCTATATCTGTATTTTAGATGTGTTGTCATCTAAATAAAATTATATAGATGATTTAGGTGAAGTTTTAGCGTCATCTTATATTTATATAGATAATAAAAATATGTATTATCTATATCTGTATTTTAGACGAAAATGTGTTATCTAGAATAATGTTCAGATAATTTGATTTAGAGTCATTGCACATAAAAATATTTAAATATTATTTAGTAGCAGAACTGAAACAGTAAGCAATAGAAACAAATAAAAATATATATATATTTTTATCCCTTTTATAATTTGTACTTTTTATAATTGTGCTTACATATAAGCGGTTTTAAAAATAATATTATCTAGAAGTGATCTAGATTCCGATAAATTGTCATATAATTTTCTCTTTTATCTAGATATGTTTAAAACAAAATCTTCAGCTATCTAAGATAAATTTACATATTTTCATCTCATCTTTATCTAGCTAATTTCAAAATCATCTAAGCCCAACATTGGTTATTTGTGCACTGAATTTAAATCCGCAAGTTAAAATAATCTATCACGTTTTTGAAAATTATTAGCAGATGAACTCGATGTGCAAAAAAGCTTAAATTGTACAAAAATATCGAATTTTTTTATCAAGAGATATGGCTTTACCTCGGATAAAAAATTCTATATTTTTATATAGTACACAACGTTCAAAAGGTTTCATTTGAATTATTTCTTTCATCTCTTGGACACTTGATTTATTACGAATTTTCAAAAATGTTGCCAATTTTTCCCAAAAACCTTACATGGTAGAAAAAATTATAGGAAACCACTCCTTCTTTTCCAAACTGCAGAAAGAAATAAATAAAATGAAGCAGATAGATTGGTGTCCTCACAAGAATACCCGATAAACGCTGCGTTTCCTATATTATTTCATCACGGCTCGATCGTCTCTCGACGAAATTCGTTTCCTTCCACGAAATGCGCAAATATGTCGAATCGATGTAATCTGTCAACGACAAATTCCTATCGAATCGTGTCCGTCCATCGATGAACAGCGTTATACATCACGAGATATCGTCCATCCTTTCTGTACGTTCGTTAAAAACGAAACAGAAAAAAAAAAGACAGAGAGAAGGGTTTCGTTACTGCGAGAGGAGATGAATTCTGTTGTTAGAACCGCTCTCTCGATTCTCGAACAATCATATTAGTTATCGTTGTCAAATGCCGGGCAATGGATAACGGCGATTCGCCGATGTGCCCTTGTTCATCGGCGAGTCCCGTTTCGACGGATATATATATATATATATATATATATATATATATATATATATATATATATATATATATATATATATGTACAGCGCCGGGGAATATTGCCGTATGCAGATTCAATGGGAATTGCATTCGCGTTGCGCATCGATCAAACGCACTGCGGCGTATAAATTGAATATCGAGAAGATCGGCTTATCCTTAACAATACGTTCAACGTCGCGCCGAAGATCCTTTCGCCGGTGAATCCGCCGTTTTAATTTAATTGTAAATAACGCTTACGCGAAAGGAAGATTCAATCTCATATTGCGATCAAGAACGGACATTTTTTTTCTTTTGTTACTTGCCGTTTTTAATCGAGCTAGCAGATTTTATACGATTCGATTCGCGGCCGCGACAACGACATATAATACGAGCATTAAATGTCAGGCGGAGTCTCTTGCCAGGCAGAGCGAGTGAGGAGAAAGAAAGAGAGAGAGAGAGAGAGAGAGTCACGTGTTTTTATTTAAAATTAAAAGCTCGCGCTTGTTAAAACGATCGGGACGACGTTCCCGCTTGTGACAGGCTGACACGAGATATTCCGCGGGGACCTTTTTGCGCGAACGAACGTGCGTAATTTGCGTAGTTATCAAAACGCCGAAAACAGATACGAGTACGCGTGGCGGGAAAAAGGATATCATCACAGCTGGCGTAAACTTATGTAAGAGGATTGTATTTTATGTATACAGAGATTGTATTATATATAATATAAAGCATATATTACATATACATATAATGTATAAAATAATATATACAATATATATTTTATATTATATAATATAATATACAAATGTATATAATATAATAAATATTGTGTATATATATATATATATATAATTATATTTTATATATATAAAAATATAATTTTTCTTAGATATTTCAAGAAAAAGCATTTGCTCTCTCTTT